TTGCTTATTTCTATCCTCTTTGGATCTAGTATTAGAGTCTCTTTATTGACAATATGTCCTAAAAATTTCAGCTCTTCCAAGAAGAAAATCATTTTTTTCATGTTGGAATAGAATTGATTATCTATTAATATTTTTAAGACTAGTTTCAAATATAGTTTGTATTTTTTTTTTATTCTTAGAGAAGATCAAATGTCATGAATATTAATTACTACTAACTCATTACTTTCATTAAAAAAGATTAAGTTCATCAAGATAGTAAAGTTAGCATGATCATTGTACAATCCAAAAGGCATAACAATAAGCTCATAGGAACCATATCTAGTTCTACAAGTACTTTTCTTTATATCTTTTTGAACAATCTTTATTTGATAGTAACCACTTTTAAGATCAATCCTATTAAAATATTTAATACCACTCAACCTATCTAATAAGTCATCAATTCTTGAAAGTGGATAGTTTTTTTTTTATGGTGATCTTATTTAAGATTTTAAAATCAATGCACATACTCACTTTTCTATTCTACTTACTTACAAAAAGAACTGAAGCAACAATGGTAAGTTTACCATTTTTTCATTCTTTCCAACCATGACTATTCTCACTTTGAACTTCCATCAAAATCCTATTGTATAAAAGTCTAAGAAAGTATTCTCTAATACTACATCTTTTCTACAAAGATTACACATTGTAAAATCTTCTTAGAACCTTATGTTTTCATACTTAAACTTTACATCCTTTACAACTAAATAGATTAGTTCTTTGCCATATACAAAAGAAACCTTCATCTCTTTAGTTTGTTCTTGACTCAACTTTAGTTTCTTGGTACAAGTTGGACTTATAAATGGATTGGTTGTCCATGTATTAATCAACATGGAAACTTCAATACCTTCAATCTTAAAACTCAAATAAATAAATTTCTTATGTAAACTTGTTAAGGTGAATTTTCCTTCAAAACTCCCTTCTTTTACTAAGACCCTCTTGCTAAGACTCATGACTTGAAGTTGTTTCATTTCATAAATCTCAACTAACAAAGAAGTCTTAGAATTTTCACTTACCTTTTTAGGCACTTTTTCATCATTATAATTATTAACATAATGTCTTTTCTTTTGGCACTTAAAACAAGTTACATTCATTGAACTTATTTTTTCCTTTTTAATATTATTTCTTTGACTTTTTTTAGTCTTAGATTTTGAAAATTAAGGATTATTTTTATCAAACCTTCTCTTTATAAATAAAGGTTTTTTGTTACTATAGAAGAACTTGGCTCCCTCTCGGAAGTTATTTTTTCCTTCTTAAGTCTTGGTCATAATACTTTGCTTATTATAGCCAATCCTTTATTCTTCCAACTCCAATTGAAAAGCCAATGCAAAAGCATCATTGATATTAGTTGGAATGGTTTCTCTCTTCTAATACCTTTTCATTCTTACAACACTTAATCCATTATAAAAAATAATAATAAGAGCCACTTTTCATGGTCCAATTGAGTATTAGCAAGTTGGTTTTGAAATTATCAAATATACTTCAAGAGTGAGATTTTTTCTCATTCTTACCTTGAGGAGTTATAACTCTTCTATGAAGTTTTGTCAATTATTCTTAAATTTTCTAATGAGTTCATCACATACTTCAATCTAAGTGATTTTTTTGGCATAATTAGAATTGATTTTGAATTTTCCATCAAACCAATCTAAAGTTCTTTCTTCAAACAATGCTGATAAGGTCCTAAACTTGTTTATATCATTTCTATTGTTATTATTGAAAAAAAAGAAATTTAGAATCATAGCACATAGCATGAACAAAGCTGTACATAAAAAGAGTATGAAATAAGATGTCTCTAACTTCTAACATCCAATACTTATATGTGGTGGTTGCTACCCTAAAAGATAACTTCCACTCTTTGATTTTTATACACATAGGCTTAGGATCCTTTAGCATCTAACTTACTACAAAGATATCTTATGTCCAATGCTAATTATTCTTATTTTGTCTTTGGATATTTCTTACCTAATACTTTATCTTTTTGACTTTGACTCTTAGTCCTTGACCTCGTCTTATATCCATAGGATGTTTTTTCTACATACCAAGAGTCAATTCTTTGACCATTAGCAACTTATCTAAGATAATATCTTTATAAGGTTACTTATTTTATTTTTATTTTTACTTATTTACTCCAATAATCATTGGTCAAATGCCAATGCTCAACTTCCTTAAGAAACCTTCTTAAAATTCTCTTGTACTCTATACCCTTCTATTTCTTAAGTTGATTTGTTTTGACTCTATGAAAGATTGACTTTATTTCTTAGCCTTCAAATAAAGCTTCTTTTTTCATATTCTCTCTCATCAAAAAGTCTATAAGAAGTTGGTTTTTTTCCATCTTCTTTTCAAACTCTTTGTTCTTTTCTTCTATAAGTCTCTTAATAATTTTTTCAACTTCATCAAGAGAGACAATATATTATTATTATTTTTTGCTTTTAATCCATCTATTGAATTTCTAGAGGTTGTAGAAGTAGTTTGTTTTTGTGATCTCAAATTTCTATTCTCTTTCACTTGCTTCTTCTTCACTTTGAAGATCTAAAGCTTCTTGTAAGGTCTCAATTTGTTCTTTATGGATCTTCTCTTTATTATCTATTTTTAGAAAAAGAAGGGATTCTTTTTCTAGCAAGGATTTTTTTTAACCAATTTTCTTTTTGGTTTTATCATCTCTTAATTCACTTGTACCTCTTATGCACTTATCTCAAGGATCTCTTCTTCCAATCATTGGAAAGTTGATTTTATAGTTTTTTTTACCATCTTGACTAATTCTTCTTATCTTAGCCAAAATATTTTGTGGAGATTTTCTTCCGAATCTTCATTTCCAATTCCAATCTTAAAAGCTCTGATATCACATGTAATATTGCTTCATTTTGAGCTCCTTTTACTTCTAAAAGTACCCAACAAAATAGGACTATTTTTTCCTTAAAACAGTCCCAAAACAGTCCTATCAAATCTTCTTTGGATCTGAACCAAACTTGATTCAGATTGAGATTTAGTTGTACCACAATTCTATATTGTGTCGCAATTTTATGTCACGGCACAACCTCTTGTCACCAATGCTTAGAAGTTGTCTCTTAGTGATATTAATTACTTAAGAGGTGACTTCCGATTCTTAGTCTAATCTAAATTACACTTTCAGATCCTAAGGGAGAAGGGTTGGGGGACTTCTTTTTGAGGCACCTAGGACTCATCTCCAAGTTCCAACGTTCCTCGCTCCACATAATACCCCTGCATAATGTAAACCTCAAGGTGAAGAATGTGGCTCTTCCAACCTCTCTATTGCCACCTTGCCATGGTACTTCCATGGACATAGGAGGTGTCTTGGCTCACAATGTATTAACCTCTTTTTCTTTACTAACTATTTAAGCAAGCAAGTGAGAGGGTTGAACTTTTCTACCTACACTCCCTAGCACATCACCTTTCTACAATGTCCGTTTATCGGCTTGAGAGACTTGGCCGCATGCTCACCCACCAATGGTGCCGGGGAAGGTGGATGTGAAAAATCTCCCCTCTATTTCATACCTATGTTCATGGAATGTTTCGGATATCAAAATTTCTGTCCAGTTTTCCAAAAAATACACTGACAAGATCTTCAGGGCTCCTTGTAAGGTCTCTGGCCTCCTTTCATGCCCAGGTGAGTGTGGGGGTCAATTATCTCCAACTACCCAGTTTGACCTGTTTGGCGAGTTTTTTCTGATGCTTGCAACAAAATACAATTACGCCACCGAAAGAAATATTATACAGAAATAAACCGGGAGAATGGCTCCCTCATCCTGACCTGTTCGGCAGATTGAGATCAGTGGTGATTACTATTTGGCTGCACTTTCCATTAAGCAATGGAATTTCTGATCCTCGGAAAATGTCCCTGCACATTTGTAGCTCCTCGGCAGGGTAACCTGCTGATACAGGAGCGCAAATTTCGTCTTTGGTTACTTTGAGCTTTGTGATCGAACTATCGGAGTGTAAACTGTGTCCGCTTTTCCGATAGAGGTGTGACTCTACTTTTGTCCGAGAAACTCCGAAGAGGGTTTGATGATGTGCAGCTGAGAAGTGTTCGCTTCAACTTGTGACCCTTCCTCCCACGTATTTCCTTCCTATTTCGTGACTTTCCCGAGAGCATGCAACTGAGGTTTGTGTTGCAGAGCTGTCACTCTTTCCCGCTTACAAAATTTAGAATACTCTGACCAGTGGAGGGCGGCCGGAAATAACACGTTGATTTTCACACATTGGAAGCCCTTGTGATTCAGCTCATAACAAGAGGACTTCGGTGGAACTTGTTGCCTGTGCTGATAGAAATTTCTCCTTTTTGCAGGAGGAACGGTTCTGTCTCAAGCGCAAATTGGATAACAGGACGACTCGATTCGCATGTGTGCATGTCTACATGCTAAAACCCCTCGACGAGCCATTAAGTGAATGTCGCGACACCTTTAGATACCTATTTGGTTACACGTGAGGTGAAAACGTGGATTGACCAGGCCCACTGTTCCTTGGGCAGTCAGATTCGACGCCTTAGTTCACTTTTGACCCGTGAGCATTTCATTTCTTGTGTGATGGTATTCACGTAAAAAGGCATTTCCAATCACCGCTGCATAACTTCACACTCGGTCTTCCGGCAGATTTTGATATGTTGACAAAAGCGCAATCTTCATCGTTAGGGATAGAATCCACTTCATCAATCACACAGAAGTTGAAACCGATCAACACAAGCTCGTCCTTACTCTATCGACATCGATATAGCTCCAACAAACCGCATCAATTTAAAACATAGCTCATCATGAATGAGAGAACAAGAAACAGAGACTAGAGAAAAACTGGATAGACCTGTTAACCAAAATTTACAAAAACCACAAACTCCAGATTCTTCTGTTGCCGATTGTTCATCCGAAATGGAAAAACAATTCGAAGCTGTTCACGTCTGCGCCTCCCACTTGTGACTCGAGATGATAAAGTGTCCCTTTGATATGAATGCAAGGTTGCAGGAAGAGGGAATCTTTGGTACAATAGAACAAACTTGAATTCATCAATCAAAGATTCAGAGCTCGTCATTCTAAGTGTTGTAACACTGCCCACATCATCACATCGTGGTAGCTGCTTTAGTAAAGGCTTGTCACCACCAAAAGCTCAATAATTCCGATCCAAGCACTACACACTTTGTCTGTTTCACTTGAATGCGCAAGAATAATAGCCATAGCAAAAGCCACGCACTACGCACTGAGATATCTAACAGACAGTCGAGGTTTCAGATCAGTCCAGACATGGCAAGTGAATGTAATCTAAATCCTTGACTCCACAGTAGTCATCCAACATTGAGCACATGATGAAGTTGGCGCAGTAATTAAGATGCTAGGGTTGTAAAAGCGGGCCCGCATCTTCAACTGAAACTAGATTCTCCCCAACATCCGAGGCCTGCATTCCCAACGTCCATTCAAAATCACTCAAAATCGTTATTGACCGATATGTATCTAATTTCAGCATCAATTGTGCACTGGAGAAAACGACAAGGTTCTACAAACCTATTACATGTAAATGATACAGGCAAAGTTCTAAGAGTAATGCAGCTGAGAAAAACCTCTTCATTTGCTTTCGTTTACTAGGGAGGTTGAGTGAACAGTGTACCGTACGGCCGGGCGTAGTCTCCAATGACAAAGCCGAGGGTGGCATCTCCTTGTAATTCAGGAGCGCCATCATGATCGAATATGACAACCATGCATCTGCAGCAGCGTAATGAATTTGAGCATATGTCAAATCACGGTTCTCCCAGTTGCTCATGGTCACACGCTTGTTCTTCTCATAGGGAACCCCAAGGACCTTCTCAGTTAGGGTTGCAATGCCTGATTTCTTGAGAGAAGTGTTTTTCAACGTGGACACGGCTAGTGTTGTCAGCTCCACTTCGCCGGCACATATCAAACCGTAGTCCTTCTTCAGCTTCTTCGTGTCTGCCTGCAACCGCACCACACTCACAAATTTGAGTTACTGTTTGCCCCTGCACTGCTCCTCACAGCTTTCGGTGGAAGTTCTAACTACAAGGTCTGGTGAACAATCTGAATCAAGGATAGAAATTTACCAAAATACCTACTCCACCCATCTTTATATTCGGATTTGCAAGAAGGCTTTTGAGGGATGCAGGCAACATGTCTATGAATCGCAGCTGGACGAGAAGGCAACACTCCTCAAGAGAGAGTTGTAAGAGTGCTGCATTATGGTAGTCGCCTTTTTGGAACGTAGGTCGCCACTCGATGTCCAATCCCCACTTGACTTCCTCCTTGCGTACTTCGAGCCACTTCTCCACTGTAGCTCCCTTGGATGCAACTGTGACCATCACCTTTACATTGCTGTCGAGTTAGCTGCGGCAAGGAAAACCCTAGAAAATGAGAGGACAATGCTCCAGAGAAGCTCATCTGTTGCAGGTACAAGGCAAATAAAAGAAGACAAGAGGCAAGTGTAAGAGTTAGAGTATACCTTCTTGCCCAAAATTTCCACTTCTTTTTGAAAATCACCTAATTGGTCAGATGGATCGGAGTACAACCAGCCACCAAGAGCAGTGTCCTCGGAGGAAGAGGAAGGATACTGATCCCATCCTCCGTAACGTCTGTCCAAATGCTGCGGATGCAAGTTTCTCTTCCAACTCGGGTACTGAGGCAGTGCAGCCGAGTTAGCTTCAACGTGAATCGACGCATATTCCCAGCCTCCGAATCCATCTGCTCTCATTGGGGGTTGCTTCCATCCAGAAGCAAATAAATCCTCACTCATATCTTGTGCGCAATTCGCGTGCCACCGCGCCTCGTATTCTCTTGCTCGCGCTGCTTTCATTTCTACTTCGTGCTTGCGCCGCTGATCCCGCTCGAGCTTCTTTCGCTCGAAGTCTAGAGTGGCGGTGTTGTCATGGTGGGGAACAATGGGGTTGGGACGTGGAGGGTCAGTGGTTGGATCCGGAGCAGCCGGAACATGAGAAGAATTGCAAGACATGGGGGCTAGGGGTCGGACAGAAGTGCAATTGGAGGGAGAGCGGTGAGGAGCAACAGCAGAGGAGGGAAAAGGGACTTGGGGCAGGAATTGAAGAGGGTGATCAAGAGAGCTGGACTCGTTTGCCATGGAGGGACTGCTGCATACTAAGGGAGGAGATGAAGAGGCAGGGTAGGGGTGGGAAGCAGGGAAGCAGCGCTTCATGCTAAAGGCGAGAATGGTACGGGTGCAATTAGAGACAAGCGGAAATGTGGGAGGCGGCAGCAGCAGCAGTGGGAAGGAGAGAGTGAAGGGAAGAGAGGAGAGTATAAAGAAGAGGGAGACAAGGTGAAATTGTGGGAGCGGAAGAGAGAGGAGGAAAGGGTGGGATGCGCCAACATCGACGGCGTCCAGATATGGCTGCAAGCCATTGCAGAGAGGAGGAGGAGGAGGAGGAGGAGGAGAAGAGGAGGAGGACCGGTCTTTCTCGCCTCAATCGAGCATCCCCTGAAAGACGACGAAGACAGGCATGTGTGCCAGTGTGTGCGCTTTCTCGCCGTGGCTTTGCCTCACAATGAGGGGGCCTTGGACTCGTTGGAACCTTGGGACTGGACCTCAGCCCCCTTTCCCCCTCCTACGCACTTCTGTTCCTCACATCGATCCAGGTGCTTGCCCTTCAGTGCAACTTTGATTCTAACTTAGTTGGGGGCATCCCTGTCTTCTACTTCCACGTCCACTTCATGTCTTTATCAAGTAAAGATCCTCTTGCTTGGACTTTCTCTTTCCGCATGCCTTTCTTTGAGAAGATTGTATTTTTGGCTTCAAGATTGGGTTGATCTAATTATTTTAAAATTAAGTGATTCAAGATGAACTATACAAATTTAGATTGTTATTATCTATCTTCCAATGCAAATTTCATCACACACATTGCTCAACAAATCTCACATATCATTGAATTTTTTGTTATTGTATGTCTATATATATACATTGACATACACACATACATATATTCCCAATTTTTTGTGTATTGCTGATACATCATTCCACAGTTTTATTAATGATAATGTTTGATGGAATATAAATTTTATAAATAAATAAATAAACATATATATAAGCACATTAATTAAATCAATATTTTATTTCATTATAATTTTTTTTTATAACTTGTTTTATATATTCTTTAATTAAAGAAGATGCTCAATTTTTTCTACTTATATCACCATTCAGACCTGCTGACAATATGTCTTATTAATTAACCTATAGTGCTAAAAGAATATATTAATGAATAAAAAATTACAAAAACAAATTAAATAATAGTACATGTTCAAAATCTTCTACCAAAATTGTACAAATATATATATATATATATATATATATATACATATGCACACACACACACCACTTTTTATTGCAAAAAGAAAAAATACATCATTGATTGTGAAATCTTGTCCTGTATTGTAGTTGCCATCAGACTACACATTGATGTAATTCAGCTAGTATTTTAGAACTTGAAAGGTAACAAACAAAAAGAGCATTTTAAAAATATACTTTCAAAGTCTATAGATTACTTTTTATTTCAGTTATTTCGGTGGAAATATTAATTTTGTTGTTTTTTATTTGTTATTTTAAATAAGGATATTTGCTCATGCCACAATAATATTTCATTTTCAAATTCAAAAGAAAATGAAATAATATTCCTATTTATATTTATCTTTACACACACACATGCGCACCTTTTTGTTTCGCCTTTTTCTGCTTTCTTAGAATTTTTTCTGCTTTCTTAGAATTTAAAAATTGTGCATAGAATATTGTCTACTATCGTTAACATTTGGATTTGAAATAAAAATAGAACTCTCAGGTATGAAAAAGGATACAACCATATTCGTGGACTTCTGGGCATACGTGTTCACATTGTTGAAGACATATTATGAAGATATTATCTGCTGATGTGGCGAGTCGAGGTGAGGGTTGGCATCAACGTGTGTTCTGGGGAGCCAATGAGACTCGATCGAGTCCTCAGGGTTGATGTCGTTGAGTTGAGTTGAGTGGTGATGGAGGGAGTGCCCCCAACAGACGTGAATTTGCGCAAGGGCATTCATTCCATGTGCTGCTCTATGCGAGTTCTTCTTCCTCCTCTCGCCCTCTCTGTTTCTTAACTTCGGCAGTCTACCTTCACCTGCTTCAACCAGCATCGTTTTCCTGCAGATCCTTGACACCGCCAACTTGAGAGCTATCTCCATCGCCAGATCGTTTCAATTCCAAATTTCTCCCTCTCTTCCATCCTTATCCCAATGCCTTGTCGAATTCGTCCTCGACTTAATGTCTGAAAGAGAGCACTGCTTTGTCTCGCCTCGAAACTACATCCTCCCCTGCAGGTATGATTGCTAAATCAAAATCGTGGTACATCTGCCACTCTAGCCCTCCACTTCTTCCAGGAACAGTCGGAATTGGACTCACCATTCCTGTCCATTATCCTGCTCGAGATTTGGTGAAGTTCTCAATTGGTGTCCGATGTGGGTACTCGCAAAAACCTCCAGATTTCTCGGTGAGCGAAAGTTTTTCCTCAATCTGAATTTCTGGACCCATTCATTTTTGTCGCTTTGTAGTCTTTTATTTTATTTGTTTTTTCTTGGTCAGTAATTCTGCAAGCATCGGGGGCCGATCAGCACCCCACTGCCTTGCCCGGTGCTTATCCCAAAATTGGGAAACTAGTCTGTCAGCACTGCTAATCTGAACTGTACTTGTCTTCATGGAGCAGGTAGACTATGACCCCTTCGAGGATTTCTTCGGCTTAGGCCTCGACATGAAGACAAGGTATGTGTCCATAATCTCTATACACTTTTCTTTGGTCATTGCCAAATCCTTTTGTGAATTAGGACGATGTTAATGAAGCGATTGCCTCACATATTAGACTTTATCTACAGTCAGGTTGGTCAGTGTAAGTTCAAATTTTGTATACTGTAGTAACATATTAATGCTCTACTCCACTTCTTGTGACACAAAATTTATCACTTTATACTCTCGTACTTAGTGAACATAATATGTTGAAGATTTTATGAAAAGATTTCATACAGAATTACGGACATCTGTCAGCATGAATTTTCAGGAAGCAAGCAGAGAGCATAGATGGCCCTCAGTCTTTCCAGGAGGAATTCAAGAAGAACGTGCCTTGTCCAGTGTGCCGGGGGAGGGGTTACATTCTGGACAGTCCCAAGGTTTTTATTTCTTCCTATATTGTTTGATGTGTACAACTTTCCTGGAGTATTAATCATCATGGGGGCAACCTCATCACTCCTTTTTGTCTAATTTTAATCTTCTAGATCCGATTGTAAGCTCGATCATGAGTTGAGCTCGTCGCCTCCGTCTCAACTCAAGTCAAGCTTTGCAAATAGTTGAAGTTCTGGGAATTACAATGAGGCCTGCTTTGAAGATAACATTACTTCTTCTGACATTGTGGATCATGCGTACAGGGTCCAAGTAGCTGTTCTTATTGTGTAGGAAAAGGAATGGTGTTGGAGGATTCAGTATGGGAGTCAGCTTGGGAAACAGCTCAAACTCGGTCAGTTAATGTGGCTTGTCTAAGACGATCAGTAGTAGATGCTGGTGTTTACCATGCAATCATCTTTTTTGGGCACCGTTGGATTTTCTACTCCCATTAGGATAGCTTAGTTTAATTTAACTTCGTCGAGAATTCAAACGTAAGTTCCCAGTATAAAGAAGATAATGCAGAATTGGTATTTGATCGTGCATTTAGATGTAAAGCACCTTTTTTCGTGAAGAAACTGCTCAAATTAGTTGGCCATGACCTGTGATTATGTGATTGCACTTGCAATGTAGGTCACCTTTGAGGGTTGAGGACGACGAGGTTCTTGACAGATTTGATCCTGATGTACCTGAAAAAACAGAAAGACGAGTTTATGGGCCTCGACCAGAAGCTATTCGAATGAGGATAAGTCGCACGATGAAGGTCTGTTTTAATACCCAGGAGGATTTCTGAATGAAATGAAACTCTAGGTTAGTGAAGGACTATGTATTAAAGACACTACTTGATTGGAAGAGATTGACCAATAATTGACCAACAAATTTTAAATTAATTCACTATTATTTCGACTTTCCTTCAACAGTTTACGTTCTTTTCCCTCAGCTGTTACATTTATATTTGTGAATTGTTGTAGGAGTTAGAAAAGCGGACGGGGGCTTTCAGTAAGCGGGCCAAGCGCCAGCATCAAAATCTCACTGTTCATTCACGGATGGTGGCTGCTATCAAGGTAATTGATTTATCCTCTTTCAACTGCTTTCTCGATTTATAATACGGTTTTTTGAAGTTTTAGTATATCTAGTTTCGTGGGGTTTCTGTTAATTTACTAGGGAGATTACATAGCACCCCTGAAGGCATGGATCTACTAAGTCGTTATCCTCCAGATGTTACCAGCATGACAATGTCTGATGGTGAGCTGATGATACATCCCTTATGTCTTGTGGATGTCGTGTATGCAGAGAGCAAAGAGCACTGAGGATGCGAGGAGGAAAATTTCTGAGCAACAGAAACTATTTTTCCAAAACCCTGAAAACCGCAGGATGCGAGGACTTCAAATGAGAGGTACAGGTTGTAGGAGTTGGTGTCGAATGTGATCACGGCTCTTTTAGTTCTGAAGGTTTCTTTGATGTGTTTGGAAACGGACGAATTGCCACAGGCTTGTTACTTAGCCTAAGAAACTGTGCAGGAGTGAAGTTCTCTTGTAGACATTGTGGGAAAGAAGGACACCGCAGGCACTTTTGTCCTAAACTTGGTTATGTGAAAAAGAGCCGGAGTTATCCAACCCGCGTGTACCGATGTGGACTGTGTCAGCAAGTGGGTCATACGAGACGACATTGTCCACTTAAGGACAGTGTGCAGGCTTCTGATCCAACATCTCTAATTCGAAGGTATAAACCTCGCGCCAAGGGTGTTAAGCGAGGTACTTATAAATGTGGACACTGTCACCAGACAGGTCACAGCCGGAGAACGTGCCCGAAGCTAGTGAAGAAAGGCGTGGAAGATGCAGAAGGGTGACGGATTGGAAAGATGAACAGGTGCAAGGGAAAGAGACTTGCAATATAATATTGAATCTTGCAACAGGCAGTATGAACAATACGTGGGATCAACTGGGGGTCTAACTGAATCTGGTGGCTTGGAGAACAATCTTACCAGCATTATCCTTGCAAGTATTACACCACCCCTCAAGTTCAATCGGGCAGAATCAACACATCCTCGTCCAGAGGAGTTTTCCTGGTACAGCAGCCACTTATATATCTCCCTGTCAAGGTGTTTGTCAAGGTCTTCTTGTCTTTACTAGTGTCTCATACTGAAACGGTGGCGGTGTGATGAGATGAAGGATTACACCCTTCGTCATCTTTGCTTATGTGACATCGCAACTCACTGCACCCCCTTGCACTATCCCTCAACCATTCATGTCTTGCGGTAATCTTTTCTTCATGTATGTTAGTCTAATTGCAATTGTTGCAATGGAAGCTTTTGCAAATAGATTACGGGAACCGGATACAAGCCGACTTATCAAAACACGTACATCCTCATGGTTTCTATATCCGTGAATTATGATGTCTGTGGTCAATCAATAACTCGTATTTTTCAATCTCTCTAAAATGGTTCTTCTCTGCTATTGTCTTGATATATTATGCATTTGACCATTTTTTGTATCTAATACTGGAGTGAAGTGACAATATTATTGATTCATTTACATTGGTTTCATTGGAACAATTATAGTTTCTACATAAAGATACATTTAAAGATCTTCTAACAAAGTAAGTGAATAGTATACAAGGTTTGCAATACATTGATAGTAGAAGTATTAAACAGTATTAAATTAATGAAATTTCTTGAAAAATAATTATTTGTATATTGTGGAAATTATTAAAAACAAAGTTTGGTGTATATTATTGTTATTTTTTTAATATCTCTTTTATGAAATAAAGATGTATCTTTAATAATTTTTTAAAATAGATTTAAAAACCTTGTACATATTCGTAAGATAAATTTGACATAGTTGTAAATAATTCATATTCTTAGTGCATAAAGGTACTTATGGTGATTCTAATCATTTTTATATCAAATAAAGTTTTTAATTAAAGTCATGTAGGTACTATCTATGATAAAATTTATTTATAGAAAAACATATTTTATAATCCTAAGAGCAAAAGAGTCACTTTAGTTGGAAAAGGCTATTTTTTCTTTTATTGCACAATAAAAAATTAAATACTAATAATCTACCTTAAAAAATTCATAATAATATTGAGAATATTTCTAATTTTTAAATTTTTTTCACAAAATTAGATATTATATTCTTATAATGACTAATTTAATAAAAAATATTTTTAATTGAATAATAATTAAAACTTGTACAATTTTATCATGTCTATTTATAAATAATTCATAGGCAATAGAAATATCCAACAATTTTTGAAGTATTTTCTAGATTTATTATGAACTTATACAAAAATAGTATTCAAGATATATTATTTATTTTATTTTACAAAACATTTCAGCACATCGCATTAAAGAATATATTATAATAATTAATATTGATATTTGGAGAATATGTGCAAGTAACACAAGTTAAGTAATTTAAAGGAGATTTTATATCTAAAAGCTTAAATTCAAAGATCATGGTACAAAAGTCCTACAAATTTCTTCCTCCTAGTATTAAAAAAAAAAAAAAAAAAAAAAAAAAAAAACTTTCATTTAAAAGCTTTGGCCTTTAAAAACAACATAAATTAAAAAGAAGCTATAAAATATATTAAATCATTCTTTTATTACAAGTCTAAATGTGTAAACTTACATTGTGTTAGAATCAAATATATCTTGATTCTAATACTTATAAAAAATATAAAATATTTCTATTTGTTTATTCATTTGTTATTATTTTTAATAAAATTTGATATAATTCTTAAGGTATGAAAAATATATATTAAGGTGGGCCTAACAAAAATTCTAAGAAATAGTAGTATATATGCTATGTGGAAAACAAAATATATTCTATCCCATTTTTCTTCTTATAGCCTTTGGATTAATTATTCTCAATACAAAGCTAAATAAGCAAAACTTTTGAATTTTAACCACCTAAGAGATTAAAAGTTGCAACCTCTCACCTTATTTCTTAATTATATAAAATTCCTTAAATCTAAAGATCCTCTAAGAGTTATTTATTTAATTTTATTGTTTTGATGTTTCATATATTAATAGACCATGATTCTTTTATTTTTTTTTTATGAAGTTTCATTAATTTTACATTAAAAAATAAATCAATTAAATTTTAGATAATAATTGTAACACTAATTGAAAGAAGACATAAAAAATAAAAAATAAACTTTGATGTTGATATAATTTAATTAGAAAAATAATAAAAAATAATTTACTTACATATATTTATAATCACATCTTAAATATAATCTTTATGCCTCTTATTTCACCTCCAAATAGAATTTTTAGATTTATTAATTTAACTTTTATATTCAATACATACCATTAATACTTTTGCTATGAGATAATAAAAATTGTTTCATGCTCAAATCTAATACATTCTTAAAAAAATTTAACCATCAATTGGTTACAACTTCTTTTACCACAATTGCTTTAAGAGATTTGGAGGAGACCAAGCACCCAATATAAGTCCTTACATTTAACCACCTTTTATGTAAGTTGAAGCCATTTGTGGAATTCACAATTCAATAGATCTATAATATTAGTCCTCAAATCACTACTACAAATAATTGCAAACCATCCAATTTAAATCTTAGGTTTTTGACTTATAGGCTCCTATCTTATATGTGTAAGAATATTTGGATTATCAGTGCAAATTTGGCAAAAGCTATAACGTACTTACGGACATGTCGTTGAAAACTCTCATCAATATAGATCTTTTATATATTCATAATAGTAGAAAATAATTAATACATCTTTATCTAGATTTAGTATAATATGTCTTTTTGAACTATCACTTGCATTATCAAGAATGACAGAGTTTAGTAGATAGAGCCTTATCTTGATCTTTTATTATTAATTAATGATTATAGTAACTATGTGATTATCGTTTTATACTAACACCTTCTATCACTTTGATAACATCTCGAGGTTACATATTCTAAAATATATGTTGATTTTTCTTTTTTTAGTTGTCTAATATCATCTCTATATTATAGCAATGCAATCTTCTTATTATGTAAGAAGGTATAGATAAGATAATTATATAGATAATTAGAACCATAGAAATTTTTAGAATTGAGATTAGGTTAGTGGACCAGATAGGACCCATTGTGGAACATTCTATAAAGAATTTAAGGCAATTATTTGGGTAGGATCTACCACCTATAAACATTCTAGAAAGTCCAAGGTGATAGGACAAGATATAAATAGGACTGGCCAGGGCCTTTTAGAGCATCTGGCCAAGTATGGCTTTAAACCTTTTGTTTTTTTAGTAAAGTTTGGTTTTGCATCTTTTTTTTCAGTTCTATTCTACTAAGTTTTTGTTTGCTTAGTTTTGTCTTTCATATCCTATTTTTTTCACTTTTATTCAATTTTGTTTTGGTATGTTTTGTCCTATTTTGTGATGATGCTTTATGTTGCTGTAGAATAGAAGGATCTTGGATTTTTTTGAGATAATTTTGCCCTCTTTCATTGGTATTAAAGAAAGTGTTAGACTATTTACTTTTGATAGCGTATCAATAATCATCATTTAATCCAAGATCAATTATTGTAGTCACTCTAGATAGTATATTGAGGCTACTATAAGCTACTCTTGAAAAGACAATTGGAAGGTAAAAAGATATTACAATAATAGAGTCCAATGGAGAAATTAGAGTATGAAAGATATGGCAGAGCAATCCCAGATGGAGGCTCAAATATAATATTACTTAGGCTAGATAGCTACTTAATAAGGACAAATAGAAGCCTCGAAGACAAGAAAGTCGACATCTACTAGTTGAAATTGAGTAAGCTTAGTACATATTGTGGAACTTCAAGATAAGAAGATGTATGTCAATGGCTCTTTAACATGCGATAATACTTTTAACTATCTAAGGCAAATACCATTGAAGGAATTATATATGCAGCTAGCTATTTAAAAAATGTGGTAGCTATTTGGTTGTGACATCGAGTTCAAAGTTATCAAGGTCAAGGTGGATTTTGTGACTGGGAGGACTTTGAGATCAAGTTTAGAAATCAATTTCGGCCCATCAATATAGAGAAGATAGTATGCGATGAATTGACAAATCTTATACAAGCTAAGTCAATATAAGATTATGTCTCTTGATTGAAGTCTCTATATCTCTAAATTGACAATATTTCAAAGACATAGATAATGGATAAATTCCTATGAGGTTTGAAATCTAGAGTCTAGTAAGAGGTGGAACCAAGAAATCTATAAACATTCAAAGAGACAATTTGAATTATAGAGAAGGTCAATGCTATAGATTTTAGAAAACATGGAATACAACCCATAGTATAAAGTCTTATGCCACTATCTAATATTATGGCACAACAAGCAATGCCAATGGAGTTTGATGCCCTATAAGAATTATTGATACCACAAATACGACAAATATTGGTATAAAAAGAATTTTATTTTTATTATTGGAAGCCAAGCCATTTGATTGAAGGTTGTCCAAAACGTCAAATACAAGTACCAATAAGTTAAGGCAAGATCTCAGTCTCAAAATTCACTAAGCTGATAATGAATTAGAGTAGGAAAACGAGGCTCTCTAGTAAAGGCACTGTAGACTAGTATTAGAAATAGCTACTATTTCTTGAAAACAAATGGCATAGCCTTGGACAACTATAAAAAAAGTTGATAGATGCATCTAACAGGACTACGAAGAAGACAACCACGTCAAGTGCTTATAGATTGTGGCTCTACAGAAAATTACATCTCAACTAAAATCATCGATCAACTTAGAATTAAAATCAAGGAAATTAAGGGAAGAAGTATATACCTTACAAATGATTGAAAGAATGTATTGAGTGAAATATATAAAGAAAAAACCTTAAGATTGACAGACACCAACATCATAAGAGAGAGATTCAAGGTGACAAAGCTAAGGTATGATATTATCTTTGGTATGCCATGGCTAGAGATGAAAAATAAGAAAGTTGATTGGAAACTAAGAACAATCTCTTTTAAAGATAGATGATGCAATGTAACTCTTTGCACCTCTACATCAAGTAAAGAAGAAAGACAACCTGCAACCAAAGACTTACTTGTAGGAATAAATTTTATAAAGAAGCAACTACAATATGAACAATTGGTGTATATGGTGGTTCCAAATCTTCTATTAGTGGTGGAAAAGTCAGCTAAAAGAATAAAACGAGTAGAGAAACTTATACAAAAATATCAAGATATCTTTTCAATTGACCTACCTAGTGGCATATTTCTTGATCAAGGTGCCTTTGAACAAGACTAGACTATATTAAAAACCCAAGATCTTTCTAATACACAACAACATATGGCATCATCACAAAATAGAAAAAAATAGATGAAAAAAAATTGAATGGACCTAAATAAAATAAGATATAAAAGACAAAATTAAGCAACTAGAAACAAATTTGAACAAATTTGAACAAAAACATGCAAAACCAAACTTTATTAAGAAAAAAGGTCTAAAGCCATAC